AGCAAGACTACGGCTCGCTCCAGGCTTGTCAAAATACTCAAAATTTCAAAATATTTCGGGATATAAACAAAGTGTGATCCAAATTTAGCAAGGAACCCAGCTAGCACATAACGTTGCCAAGCCTTTCAGCTATGTTGTTTTAAGGGAACGTAATAACATTACTACACAACGTAAATGCAACGTTCATGAGAAGTTGTTGAGGGAAATCAAAACCTCGCAAAACTTATATTTGTTACTTATTTTACTTTTATTTAACCTACCTGTTATGATAACACAACGTAATAAAAAAAGGAGAGGTTGTCAAAGCACTGTAAACAAATTCCAGGATTGTCTTTGTTCAGCGATTTTGTTTATGTTCAGTTCTGTTTTTTGTTTGTGTTGTGGCTGTTGTAAGCTTTTTTGGCATCAATTCTTTGTTATCTTACTTATATTTGTGACTTATTGTGCTTTGATTTCGATTTAGTATTATTTCTGTATCTGTAACGTGTGGAGGGTGGGTTACCCCCACGGCACTTAGGCCTCATTAGGCCCATTGTGCATCCTCCTAAGATGATAGGCACCTCCTAGCTCGTGAGCCAGCCTACAGATTTAATGTAGTTGACAACGTCGCCAAGAGGTGCCAAGAGATACTCCCCGAACACAAATCTTCTAATAAATGAGAGCGTCAAGCAATCGTAAAGGATATGCTTGATGGTCTCATCATCTTGTTCGCACCCTCTGCAGAGTGCGGATTCTGACAGCCCCATGATATGGCGATGCTTCCGTACTTGGCAATGACCAGTCTGAATGCCTGTGACCAGGCCTTAGATGACCAGGCGCGGATTCTGTCTAGTCATAGTCAAGTATTTGTTTGCTGCAGTGTTGTCAGGATAACTTAAGAGCTCCCTGGCAACTCTGCAGTTTCTTGTTTCATTCCATCTTTCCTTGAATTTCACAAGGGAATGTTCTTTAATTAGGTCTGTCACTACCGATTTTGTCAGGCCAATAGAAGGGCCAGGTTCAAAAAGTATTTGGTTGGGTGCTTTCTTGGCTAGTGAATCTGCAAGACGGTTACCTTTCGATGTGGCGTGACCTTTGATCTATCTTAAGGTGACCACATTGTTGATGGATACTTCTAGCCCTCTCCACTAATAATCCTTCCTCCATGCTTTCCACTTCATTCAGTTCATTGAGTAATTCAAATAAATAATAAAAGGTACACAATTCTTTTTACTCCATTGCTATGTTGGTTGCATATATACTAGGTTTGTTCCCGAAGCGAGTTCCAAACTTGTTACGAACATTATCTGATACGCATGCGTGACCAGAATAATATTCAGAATGAGTTCCGAAAAAATGTGTGCTGGAACGTTAATAAAATAAATATGTGGCTGAGTGTTTTAACTAATTACAGGTCATTCGATATATTTATTAAAAAAAGAAGATTTTGAGGTTATGGAATAAAAACTATCCTATTATGATATATTTTTTTTGTTATAACGCTGTATAACATTTTTACTGTTCGAACTATTTTATAAATATGATGAATGCCTCAGTAAGTTATGGTAAGTTCAGATTAAAGAAATATTAAAAGATTTTTTATAATGTTGTATTGTAGATTTGGAAGAATTTTTGTCCTTTCCATCTGAACGTGCTTCAGCCACGGTTCCGTCTGTTGTCGAGTCGGAACAAATTATGTTTAATTCAAACATAGATTCAGAAAATCAATATATGCATTGGACAGATACAACCACTAATGCACTGATCCATGTATATAAAGAACACTATAAAAAAGTAGGGAAGTCAATCAAAAGCCAGAAGAAACTGTTTGAAATTATTGCAGACATTTTAAATAAAAGGTACAAGTTAACGTTGACAGGAGAAAGAGTCAGTAATAAATGGAAGACGTTAGAGAAAAGTTTTAAAAATGTTGTAGATAACAATAATAAAACAGGTAGAGGAAGAAAATTTTTTAAATTTGAAAAAGAAATGGAAGAAATATTTATAAAACAAAAGAAAATTAATCCGGATATTCTGTTGTCTGAAGACACGGTTGTTGATAATTCAACTGTTCGACAGGAATCTGAAAAGGAAAATGCTGTACCCAAAAATGAACAAGAAAAAAAAGACAAACCTACAAGGCTTGGTACCCAAAAAAGAAGTCGAACTGATGTATTAGACATTATTAGGCAAGATAGACTAAAATATAATAAAGAACAACTTTCAATTAAAAAGGAGAGACTTGCTATTGAAAAAGAGAAAATTGAAGAACAAAAAAGAAGGAATAATTTGCTAGAAGAAAGAAATCGATTAATAAAGGAATACTTAAAAATACCTAATGAAAGTCATTAAAATGTACCTTCATTATTTTTTGTTAAGTTTTTTTTTTTTTCAGAATATGTTGTCTTCTGTTGTTTTTTAGAATATTTGTTCTTCAGTTTTTACAGAGTGTCCCAAAAAAGTAGGCCAATATATTAACCATAGATTCCTTAGGTCAGTGTAAGAAACCTTTATTTTTTCGATTGGGACCAACATCTTCAAAATACAGGGGAGGAAGACTTGCAACTGGCGCCCTCTATGAGGTAGGTTATATTTAGGCTCACAATATGATTTTTTATCAAAAAAAAAACCCCCGATGTACCAATTTTAAGCCATCTACTCAATAAAATGACGAAAATATAATAAAAAATTAATTTTAAAAAATTAACTTGGTCACCCTGTATATTTAACATGATGGCCCCAATCGAAAAAAATAATAGATGTCTCTTACACTGACCTAAGGAATCTGTGGTCAACTGATTGGCCTACTTTTTTGTAACATCCTGTATAGTTTTTAAGTTATTTGATTGTTTGTTTGTTGTACATACCTGTACTGAATACTATTTTGAATGTTTAAGAAGGAAAATAAAAGTCTGCTTGAAAAGTTTATTTCATTATTTAATTAAAACCAATTAATATAATCATAAATTTAAAGTTCTTAAAAGGTAATTACGATAAGCACTTCCTTCGGGAATATCTCTTTCTATATCTTCGTGATCATCTAAAGCCTGTTCTGGATCTATGTCTTCTGGTCCGGCATTATTTTCTTCTTCATGTATAATGAATTCATTTATTGATAGGTTATGAAGTACACAACAAGCTCGAATAAAATGTACAATGTCTGTAATTTTTTGTAGCTTGCAGTGAAATAATTGTCTGAACTTCTGTTTTAGGAGTCCAAAACAATGTTCAATAATAACTCTACAAACAGATAACTTTGTATTGAAAAGCCGTTGACGGCGGGTTAAGTTTCCGGTATCTTTGTAAGGTGTAATTAAGTGTCTAGTGCAACCATATGCACTATCACCTAAAATGAAAAAATTTCCACACTTTTGTGCTAGATTTTGGGAAAGAGGGCTTCTTCTGAATATTCGTGCATCATGCACCGAACCTGGAAAACCCACAAAGAGGCTTCGTATCACCATTCGATGATCACATACTGCTTGAAGCTAAAATAGTATTAATTATTTAGTTTTTTGACAGTTAATGGTTTAATTTTATTTTGCAATGTAATATTTATGTATGTCCCCTAGAATAGGATTATAGGTAAATATAATGTAAATATTGACATTTTTGTACTATTTTCGGGTGCAGAAGCTAATAATTCTCATAGTGTACAAAAATATGCTCGTTACTAACACTTTTAATCCTAGCATTAAAAGTAATTGCATTTGAGCTCTTCAATTAAAATAAAAAAAAGATTGCCTTTTTCAAACATAGTAATACAAACTAATTGGACACCTATATCTTCTGCAATTTCTATTATATCCACAGTATGTTTACATCTAGTTCAGAATTCATTTAAAAGTATTCAGGGGACCTCAAAACGTAAAAATCCATCGAAAACTCGAGGTCGAAAAAAATCATGATTCCTATACTTTCCTTATATCTGTATACAGATAGGAAAGTAAAAATAGTATATATCATATGGACTAAAAGTGATTTATTACTCACAATTTTGCATTCGCTCGACTGCAAAAAAATGATACACTTTCAATACTTATAATGTAGGTACTATTTCTAAATTGGGTCTGTACTTACTTGAATTGAAAAATATTTTTTTCTATTATAATAGGAATCGGGATCTCTTTTAGGTTTATCAATTCGGATATGAGATCCATCGATTGCTCCTATGGCACCAGGAAATCCTTTATTTCTAAAAAAAAATTCACTTTCTCGCATTTCCTCTTGTGTTTGCCATTTGATCACTTGAGGAGACAGGCCACTTAAAAAATATGTAACCCGGCGGATCACTCGGAACAAACTACTAATTGAAATATTGAACCTATCAGCCACATCTCGAAATGAAGCGGTTTGATGTCCAGCAAACCACAAGAATATAAGAATATGGTCTTTGCCGCTTAATTTCTTATTTCCACCTGTTTGAGGATGAAATAAATCACTGCTTTCGAATTGTCTTGCAAGGCTATTTACACAGTCTTTGCTAATTCGAAAATGTTCAACAAATTCAGTATCATTATACTGTTGAATCGTTTCTTGGATATAGTTTTCATTTTTTGGCCGCTGTCTATCCTGTAATAATTCTTCTTCAAATTCTGAAAAATCACTATCACTATCATCAGAACTATCTGAAATCTCCACTTCTGATTCACTTTCAAGAAGGAAAGCATTCATTTTAAATAAAATAATTATGGTAAAATCAAAATTAAAGATAGCACTCACAAAACTAACCGAAAAACAAAGGAGAAAAAGAAGAATGATTTTACTTAAGCACGCATGCGCGAAAGTAAAAGTTCGTATTTTATTTAGGAACCAATAAAACTAGTAACAAACATGTTATGAATAAGTTTTTAATCTTGCGGAAACATCAAACAAGTTCAATTTGTTTGGAACTTTGCTCTGCTGGAACAGTTATTTTGTACTGCGCATGCTCAATTAGTTAGGAACTCGCTTCGGGAACAAACCTACTGCAAGTAAATTAATCGAGCAAGATCTAGTTTTGACACTACTCCATAGATGACACTGCTGTGTGAAGGTTTATTATTTTTCTAGTTGAATTGAAAATTGAAATGTGAAATGGTGGCTTGTCAAATTGTCAGCACGTATCTAGGGCGGGGAGGTTTCTGTAAACTACGTATTTAATTATTTTAGTGTGGACAAAATTACATATTTCGCGTGTTTTAATTTGTAAACTTTTGTGTTTTCGGAAAAACTCATAGATCTTTGTGTTCGTGTAGTTGAAAGTGCTTAATAAATTAGTGTACTTACAGTTAAAGGTGTATCATGTAGGTAAACATTAAAATTGTTTCGTTTATTTTCAAGAAATGACTTGATAGGGGGATTAAATACATTGTTGATGTAAATAGCTCATGATTAATCACTCATTAATTAGTGTTATTTTATTTTAAATTTATGTTTATGTATTTTATTGTTAGTTACACATTATTTGCCATTGTCTAAGGGGCTAATCAATGTAGCACTTTGTCGTCCTCTTTTCTTTACATAACACATTGACAAGGACAATCTCTTTAAAATTTCAGTTAATTTTGTAACAAGAAGTTTCCAAAGTAAACAAATATGCAGGATAAAGAGAAATCTTGAATTTGACAGGTGTATGAATACTTTCTACTTTCAGAGTAACAAAATTATTCAGATTAAATACTTATTAAATAGATGTCTACTGTTGTCTTTTGATTGATAATATTTTTTACCCTTAAAATCTGCATTTTAAACATAAATAAATCTACATTTTATACAGGGTGGTCCATTAAGTAGGTAGAGATAAAAAATTTAATACTGTTAGTGCAGATTCCACCGTTGTGTTAAACGAAGTTTAAATTACTAAATGAAGGTTAAAATGACATTTTTACATTAATAATTTCATTTTAATCTTCGTTTAGTAATGTAAACTTCCTTTAGTAATGTAAACTTCCTTTAATACAATGGTGGAATCGGCCCTTAGAGATATACAAATATATTTACAGAAAATGGTATGTAGCATTGAACATTAAACTTCATATTTTAAAATATACAGGGTTTTCTATAACTTCAGTCTGATATAAAATTGTTTTTTTAAATATATCCTCCATTACTTTATTTTTTTATTAAGTACACTGCTGAGGAGCCAATCCTGATAACATTGCAGGAACAAAACAATATGTACCTATATATTTACAGATACTAATCAGAAACAAAATACACGAAATTATAATCAGCTCCTAGTAAAACACAATTCTAAATTATTTTTTATTTTAAAGTTAAACAAATCAGATTTGATTTCCCCAAGTCTGCATGAGAAAATGTCAATGCCAAATCTCATACTATACACAATGCAGGTTATAGTAGTAACTTATTATCTTCTTTATTCAATGTGATTTTGGATAGATAATGCAGTTATACACATTCCTTTTTGCTTATTTAGAGAATAGTCAATATTATGTAAAGATAACCAATTCTAATTCTTACCAATTTTTTGAACATACAATCTACATGCTGACCAAAGTTTAGATAAGGATGGATCCTTATTTAAAACGGTTGGAGTGGCATTTCAAGATACTCTTTACTATTTCAATATTTTCACTCTTATGTTCTCGATTATGTTTTTGTTACTAAATAAATATTGTACACTTGTTTGGACTGCCTAAAATCATGCATTTTATTGAGCCAATTAAAACCTATAGTTCAAAACAGATAAAAGAGTATCATCTGCATACAGATTTATGAAACTGTGTTAGTTTGTCATTTATGAAAACCAAAAATAGTAACAGGCCCAGTGCATACTCTGTGGCACTCCATATGTTGTATATACCGATTCTGATATATGTTTATAAACTTTTGTTCTTTGATTCCAATCATCTAAGTAGCCATTCTTGATCACAAGTGATCCACAGTGATGGCCCGGTTATGGCTTGAGTGGGTGACCAAACTCTTAGACCAAACCGTAGAATTGAAGGAAGAATGTACTAGCTAAATGAATGGTAAGGAATAGGACATTCAAGTGGTGGTACAATTAGCTATCTGAGTTTCAGTGCCACCATGCCAACCCTAGAGGAGAGACAGTTGGCTGGATCCCAAGCCTGATTGAGGGGAGCTAGTGGCTGGACCCAAACCTGATTAGGTGGGATCTGCCGAAACCAGGGAAAGCAGAGGGATGCCCGAAAGAGTGAAAATAAAGTAGTCTCTCAACCACCAAGGACTGTCTCCATTTGATTTATATTTTTTTGAGCACTTTTTTGTGAGGTATTGTTTCAAAAGGTATTTTAAGGACTACAAAAGCTGTCATTTTTCCCTCATCAATTTCTTTTTTCCACTTTGATATCACATACTGACTACCACTTTTGTAGGAAAGTTTGCTCCTGAAGCCTAATTGTCCTTCATAAATAATATCTGTGTTCTTCTAAGTATGTACTTAACTGTTCATGTACCACAATAAAAAAAAAATATACCATTGGTAATACATTTATAAGTCTGAGCTGCCTTTTTTAGGATTATCTACTTTTGGTACCGGAACTACTACACTACATTTTAATTATATTGGCATTCTCCCTGTTTCCAAGGACGTGTTCACTAAATATGTTTGAAAGTGTTACACAACCATACAAAACAATTTTTTTTTTAATTCTGCATATGATTTGTTTTTTAATTTGCAGTTCGTTGAAATTTATACTGAGAAATTTTAGTAAATTTACTGATTGTTTAGTCACATTTAATGCTTATTTCTTTAAAGTCTTTATCTGGTGGTTCAATAAAATTATAAATAATATCAAAAAAAATTGTTTAATGTATCCTGCTTTGTTCAATACAATAAAGAAAATGTACAGCCTAGTTGGATTTGTAAGTCCCTTCGACAACACAGGTTTTCCAAAAAAAAAAATTCATATTTGTTTATTTTGAAAATTTTCGAGCTAAGTATGCCAATGTTATTATGGCACAACCATTAGAAGATCATAAAACTTCATTTGTACTTAATTAGTTTAGAACAAATAGATTTACTTAAGAAGAGGTTTTAATCGGATGGTGATAGCAGCTTATTAAAAGACATGTGAATTAAGTCAAATTTCCAAAAGACTGATAAACAATCTTGTGAAACATGGGACTGGTTTCACATGCCTCTTAATGGGCACTGTTGTATGCAAGATTCTGTAAATATCATGACAAAATTTAGGATTAGGCTGCTAAAATCATACCTTAAACATAACCAGAATGACGAAGGCACTAGTGAAGAATTTAATAAGCAAAGAAAATATGAAAATAAAAAATGGTAATATGGTCTTTTGAAGTTTAAAAAAATGATTTAGTTGATCTGATAACAGGATTCGCCAAAGATAAACATCTGCTAATACCATCTGATCTTAATTCAAATGATAAAATGAATTATAAATCTGCAGAAAAGATGTATTCTGAAATGGTGCAAAATTTGTTAAAAACTCAACCTGATGCACTAGGAACCGTCGAAGACTTAAATTTAATGAACAAGATCAAAGTGGCGTTTTTGGATAAAAATGTTTTGATTTAAACTAAAATTTATTGTATGTGGTATGCTGTGTTCTTTTTACGAATTTGGAGGCGATGGATAATCTCTGAAGAAAACCTGAGTTTATTAAATAATTTTATAACATTAACAATAGCTACTTATGTGTGGAACATAATGCACATGTTATTATAAAGTTAAATAATTTTGTTTTAAAGAAAGGGTTCTCAACCATGTGAAAAACTGTTTAGAGCTAAGAGATCTATGACATCCACTTTCTCAACAGTTGTTAATTGCAGTGTTAGAAATAATTAAGAGAACCAATAAGTTAGAATACATTAACGACTGTATAACAAATTTATCTAACACCTTTATATTCCCTAGAGAAAACAATAATTATAAATATAATTTAGACCCAAACCTAAATGAATATTGAAAAATGTGTTAATGATGCTCTAAATGTTGTTAAAATGTCAAAATTTAAATTAATGATTTAAGTATAAATAAAAACTTAAAAGAAAGTGATAACATAGTTGAAGGTCAAGAACTTTTTCAAAATATCACCTCTGATACAGAGGCTGAGGCCACTTCTGAAGAAGGAAATATTTTAATAAACTTTACTTCTCTGAATGTTAATGATATTAAAAGAAAAAAATGAAGTGTCCATAAACATTGGAAATAAAACAGAAAAACAACATTGTTGGTTACTAGAAGAGCAATCCAATAAATTAAGTTTGGACAGGATTATGAGAGTTAGGGAAGTCCCAGAATTTGCCGATTCTAAAAATTAGAATAAAAGAAGTGTCAATTTAATAGAAAATAGAAACGGATAAATATTACGCCATCTACTACGATGATTCATGGTACATTGGAAAAATAATATAGAAAGTAGAAATAATGACTTGTATGGGATAAAGTTTTTTAAAAGAAGACTTAGGTCACTATTATTGGCCTAACAAGGATGATAACAATAAATGCTATCACAAAGCTGGTGACTGATATTGTCAGTGCTTTTGAGGATACACAGATGCTTTCAGCAAGTTTCTGTGACCTCTCAAAAGCATTTGATTGTGTTAGCCACAGCAAACTATTGGATAAACTCCCATACTATGGTATAAGAGGTAAAGGTCTTGATCTCCTAACCCAGTACTTAAAAGACCGTTGTCAATTTGTACAAATTGGAAACAATACTTCAGAAACTCAAAAAGTTCATGCTGGAGTACCCCAAGGCTCAATTCTTGGGCCAACCCTCTTTATGCTATACGTGAATTACCTACCTTACTATCTGAAGCCTACTTTTTCCATTCAGTATGCAGACGACACTACTTATTATCACTGTAACAAGGACAAAGACGAGCTAGAAACTCTTGATGCTGGAGCTCTTGCCTTGTCTAACTTATGGTTCTCTAGTAATAATCTTTTACTGAATACTGACAAAACAGTCAAAATGTTGTTTATACTCAGAGACCTCAGCAAACTAAATCAACAAAATTCTTAGGTTTAACATTAGATAATAAACTTGATTGGAAACAGCATATAGAGAGTCTATCAAAAAAACTATCTATCACGCTATTTTTAATCATAAAATTATCATGGTACACTACAAACGAAGTCTGTAGAACGGCCTATATGGGTCTTTTTCATAGCCACCTGTCATATGGGATACTGCTATGGGGAAATTCTGTAGACTGGCAAAAAATATTCATATTACAAAAAGCGGCAGTACGTGCAATAACAAAAAGGCCTCATCTAGATGTAGACCATTATTCAAGGAACAAAAAATATTGACACTCCCATCTCTTTATATATTAGAAT